CAGCTGGTGACAGACGCTGGCCTGCTGAGCTGACTATCCCATTGGCTCAGATTCCTCCTGGGTCCAACAGTAGAAGCTGGAAGCTGACAGAACCAGGCACTCAGACCTGCCTCTGCTCCAGCTGCGTCCCAAGCACCATGACCTTGCCGTAGTCAAGCTGGCCTTTCTTGACACATTGCCTTACAAATGTCATGCCACACATACCAGGCTCAAGCCTAGCTCCTGTCAGCAGAGTTGTGCTAAAACAGCAAACACCACACCCCCGCTGAAAGGCTGCCTGTGTTCCTGAACCCAGCGCGCAGGGTTTGCCTTGCGGTGGAATTCCAAATGCAACTGTGGAAAGCAACAGCCTTCGAGCGCCAAGTGAGTCCACAGCCCAAGAAAGAGCAGGCCTCAGAGAGTCAGAGACCACAGTTCCAGACTCTGACCACATGCCTCTGCCTCTCCCCACCACCGAGACTGAGGTTTGCTAGAGCCTCCTACCTGGTCCCAGGGCTTCTGCCCTTGGTCCCCTCATACCTCCAGTCTCAATGGAGCAGCCAAAGAAATCCTGTTACACCAAGGCAGCCCATGCCATACCTCTGCTCAAGCCTCCACAGGCCCCTCACCCCTCAGAATGAATGCATAACAATCTATCCTTCACACTGACCACAAGACTGGCTGTAGTCACACTGGCCACTTGCTGCTCTCCTCAAGTATCCCAGCCCCACTGCTGGGTCAGCACCTTGGTGCCTGCTCATCCCTCTGCCTGAACTGCTCTTCTCTCAGCTGCCCAGGGGGCTTTCCCTCACCTCCTGCAAATCTTTACTCAAAAGGCATCTTCTCAGTGAGGAGGTCCCCAAGCACCTTATCACCATGAAACCCTCCCCCTTGCACCTGCCTCTGAGCTACCTACCCACCTTTCCCACCTCAAGTTTTGACAGTAGTTATCACCTCCCAAAAGTGAAACTCTCTCTTGGTGGTTACTGATCCTCTGCTCTTCCACATCGTTGAGCTCCGTGAAAACACAGATCTTATTTTGTTCACTGATGTAACCATCACACCTGGAGCCAGTCCAGGCATAAACCATGGGTCAAATAAACACTGGATAAATGACTTATCAAACTCTCAAAACTAGTCCTAGAGGCCTCTCCTTTTCTAATCAAAGAGAATCCACCTAGACCAAACAAACCTTCCCCTGGACACCACAGCCACACAGGTCTAATACAATCCCCTCACATTTTGGATGCAGAAACCAATGGCTTCAGCGTGACAAGACATGGTGAATGTCAGACAGATAACAGAAAGAGAAGGCTAGAACCCACCCAACTCCTACTCAGACGTCTTTCTACCAGACCACATTTGGCTGCCTCATCCAGAAAGGCAATTTCTAAAGAAAAAAGATGAAAAGAAATTTAAGGTGAAAAAGAAAGTCCCAAATACACAACCTTACACAATCTTATTGGTAAACCCTCTGTTCTGCACACAAGGGGGTGTGCAGAACAGAGGGTTTACCAATAAGACCAACTCTCATGCAGCACATGACCTTGACCTCTTCAGACCAACATGGAAGAGTCTGGATGAACCACCATTTCTCAGTACTAACAATGTAAGATGAGGCACACTCCCTAACCTCGCAGAATTCACTGCCTGGTGAAAAAGGTAACTCATAAAAGAATACCAAAGTTCAAGCTGCACATCTACAGGCAAAGGTTTAAAAAGAGGCATGCTGCAGGTGAATTCTGAAAAGTAAGAAAAGAAAGCCCAGCAAAGGGAGGGAAGGAACATTCAGGTAGACCACAAGAGCTCAAAAGCGAGAGGGAATAAACAGCATGGAACAAAGAAGAATCCAGAAGCCCATTAGCACTGCTGAGAGCAAAGTTCAAAGAAAGGCTGGGTGGCAGATATGGCTAAACATTTTGAGTAGTGATGAGGTTATAAAGGGCCTTAGATGTCATGCAAAAACATCCACCTGTGGCATGACATTGCAAGAGAATTGACCAATGGGTTTTAACCCAGTCTGCCTCAGTGAGTGTTGCCTAGAGGACAAAGCATGTGTTTTACAAACTACAAAATAACGGTAAACATAACACTTATGAAACACCAAGAACAGGACCAGTCAACCTGAGTGCTTGATAAACGTCAGCCACATGTCATGGCATCTTTAAGGGCTGTGCTGTACAGGTCCCTCCACAGTCAGGTATACTAAGGGAGGTGTAGTCTCCCTCCTGGGTTTCCCTGTTGGAGGTTCATTATCATGGGAACCACTGGCAAAGCCACAGAAGCCTGGTTAGCAGCTCTGCTAGAATGGCACTGGCATAAGTGAAGACCCAGAGTGTGGGCAGTGACCACCACCTACTGATAGAAAAAACACACCATAACAATTCTTCTTCATGGAGAGTTCCATTCTGTCACAGGTGAGGGCCACAGAATGGAAAGCAACCCAGAGGCTGGAGAGGCCTCTCTTCTGGGCCCAACATCTTGAATTTGCCTTGCCCTCTTCAGTAACAGCCTCTGACAACTCTCAAAACTCCACTGCATCTCTGTAACTGTACCTGGAAGCTACTCTCAAAAGGGCCTAAGACACAGCATGGCACCAAACTCCAAGGCTAGCTAATGCCACTTTCACAAAAGAAACTGGAGGCCATATTAGTTTCCTTTGGCTGCCACCACAAATATAGTGGCTTAAAATAACAGACATGTACTATCAGTTATGGAGACCACAATCGTGAAATTGAAGTATCAGCAGGGCCATGCTCTCTAAGAAACTCTAAGGGAGGATCCTTCTCAGGCACTTCCAGCTTCTGGTGGCTGCCAGCCATCCCTGGCTCTCATTGGCTTGTAAACACGTGGCTCCAACCTCTATGTCCATCTTCACATGGCCATCTTCCTTATGTCTCTGAGTCTGTGTTCAAATTTCCATTTTCATATGAGGACACTGGTTTTAGGATTAGGGCCAATCCAAATCCAAGACTTGTTAATTTTACAAAGATCCCATTTCCAAAAAAAGTTCACACTCACAGGTTCCAGACAGACATGAACTTAGAGAAGACACCACTCAACTCAGTACAAAGACAAACTACCAAGAGACACCACCTTCAATCTAAAGGTTTATTCACTGTTTTAACTACACAACAGCTCTAGTATTCTTCCTTGTCCTTTGATTGTTAAGAACTAATTAGAGGGCCCTGGATGTAGCTCAGTAGCAGAGAGCTTGCCTAGCATGCAGGAAGACTTGGGTTCTATCCCCAGCACCACTAATAATAATAATAATAGGGGCTGGGGTTATGGCTCAGTGGTAGAGCGCTGGCCTCGCATGTGAGAAACCCTGGGTTTGATCCTCAGCACCACATAAAAATAAATAAGTGAAATAAAGGTATTGTGTCCAACTACAACTAAAAAATAAATATTTTTTAAAAATAATAATAACAACAACTAGAATTTAGATGAAAGGGTCCAAAACCTGAAGCCCTAAAAGCAACATATAAAAGTTATACTGCCATGGGATCCTTTTCCCTGTCACCACTAGGACCTCCTATACCCTACTATTTCAGAATTTTCACCTTATCTTGGACCCTAACATTGGTTTGATGAAAACTCATATTGTTCAGTCAAGCCTAACACTGGCAGAGTAAAACAGGGACTCTGGCCACCTTTGATGGCTCCCTTCAAGTCACTGTATCTGCGTCATCAGTAACTCCTGGCTAACTCCCCAAGACGCTGAAAAACAAGCTTTTCTGACTGGATGAAGTGAGTGCCAAAGTTTACGATTCTAAAACTCACACGATGGGGTCTACTGTGAAACAAAGGCGCACAGATCACTTCACCATGCTCATGAGGATTCTACTTATTTTATATCACAATTCTTAATTTTCAAGATCGCAGGCTTTCGCCTCGGGATAGAACAAACAGGAAATCTTGAAGCACTCGCCTCCGACCAGTTCCCACCAATAGCTGACCTCACCCGAGGTATCTCCCAGGTAGCTCCCTCCTTCCCCAGGGCCCCAGGTAGCACCCTCCCTCCCCAGGGCCCCAGGTAGTACGCTCGGGCCTCAGGTAGCGCCCTCCATCCCCAGGGCCCAGGTAGCACCCTCCTTCCCCAGGGCCCAGGTAGCACCCTCCTTCCCCAGGGCCCAG